AATACGCTCTTCTCTTGGATAATTCTTCATTTTCACTTAGCAACACAATAAGAATATTAAAATAACGACCAACACGTCTACAATTACAAAAAACAATGCCACTCTAGCTATCAAAAAGAGACTTTGCAGTCTAAACTGACAAATAAAATAAAATAATACTTTTTAAAAATGAAACGGTTTAGCCGCAAACTTCCGTGCCGAATAGCGTGAATAACCCTGCATAATAAATATACAGGGTGTTTACACAACAATTAGTTTTTCTGTACTAAAACACCTTCAGAGGAATGACCAGTGTTGAATCACCCTCCATAATGCAATAAAACTACGGTGGCTTATCAAAAGTGCAAACATCACAATGACTAATACTGGTTTCAGCAATTATTTGACACTGAATAGTTAGGAAACTCAAGTCCTTAACTAGTTTAAGGCAAGGCCAACACAGCAATTAAATCCCAAAAAAATGAAGGCATTAAAAACAGTTTTCATGGTGTTTCAGACCATTAGCCGAGTGCCTAAAGGGTGAATCCAGGAAACTTAGCGTTCAAAGGATCCTGGATATCCAATAGCAAATACATCGGTCCAGATATGCCTTCGTACAACGACATTGGACGATCAGGGGTGCATTCCTCGCGCTGTTTTGTATAGTCTAAGCAATATTCGGCAAATTTGATTGCGCGATACAGATGCCGTTCATCCTGAGAGCCATAAAAGATGAATTTAGGCTGCAAGAGTGACGGAAAGCGCTTACCTTTGTTGTCTGGAACATTTCCAGGAAACAGTAGGCGTTCCCGGCCACACCATGACACAGACTGTAGCCCTTCTTCAAGATGCCTCTGAACCAAATAACATCCGCACATTTTTCCGCCGCATAGATATAGTGTTTGTCGCCAAATGTCTGAAACTGCAATGTTAGGACAGGGCTTTGCCAGCTTATTTTTTTATCTGTATTTGAAGACGGCAAAATAAAGTAATCTGGCGACTGTAAATACATACACAATAAATTGGGAGGATATATACTCGTGATATTTACCCTGTAAGCTTCACAGTACATGTATAGGAATCCTGGAGCGCCGTGGCACCATTGAACGTATTTGTCCTGCTTACCAGGGCCGAGCGAGGAGGGAAAATTCCCGGTGGGAAACCTGGAATGGGCAGCTGTATTGTCGTTAATTGCGCCCTGTTTGACTACCTCAACGTGGATAGGAAAGAAATAGTGGGCTTGATGAGGTTGGTCAACTCCGCTTCAGTGAGGTACTTTCGCGCTTGCAGAAGGAGGTAGATAATGCCGGATACTCCATGGGCTGCGCCCAAATACTGGGAATCATGCCACTGGAACATCAACGGGCATTCTTTTTCAATCTTCAAATGCTTTGCCAGTTTTTCGCCCGAATGCAGCATGGCCGACACGATCTGCAAACAATAGCAGGTAAATTCATGAAATGGGCATGGAAATACGCGTACACTTGTGATTGCGGCATCAGAAAATGGGGCAGGGGAAACGTGTCGATTAACGAACAGAAGGGCGTAGAGAAATCCTGCTCGTCCATACAAATATTCGTTGGGCAAGTCCGAGCTGGAGTTTTTTACCACTTTTATAAAGGCAGTGAGCCTAGAAAGGAAAACGTGTTTTTTCCAATTGGAGTCGGTGCTAACGAAACCACTTACTTCCTAATGCAGAAGTTGTAGATCTTTTGATCGTCTAGTTTATAGGAAACAATGGCCCCAAGGGCCAAAGGCCCACAATCCCCACATAGAAACGTTACGCGTTTGTTTTTCAGCTGCTCCAATTGCAAGTACTGTTTCCGTATATTCTGGAAAAAATTACTTAATTAGAGGAGAGATAAACACGTACACCAAACATACTCTCAAATTCCGGGTATCATTGGGGTTCTTTCTGAAAAACAGCAGCCCCACACCGGCAGTTCCCGTATAAACTGAGTAGTCGGTTGACGTCCAATCCTTCAGCTCGTCCAACATCGAGCCCCATTTGGCCGCTAGCTTCGCAGTTATTCTATTTGTTGTGCTCACCTAAAGTAACAAGTATGTGGGTAATAAAGCCACAGCGAAGCGGCTGATTGGGCTTACAGCGTTGTTGTCTATGTAGGGCTTTGCCTTATCCTCTGAGTAGTCCTCGTATTGGTTTTTGAAGTGGTATTTTTCATGATAGGGAGACGATGATACTGAAGAACTGGCAGACATTGTTCTATTGGGCGCTGGTATTCTTTAGCTTTGTTATTTATTTATCAAAGTACAATTGCAGGTTAATGTTTATTTGTTGATACGAACGTCTATTGGTTGCCCCCCTGCAATACAACGTTGCCAGTATCTAATGTTATGTCAGGTATCGTGTCAAGTGTCAAATCTTAAAAAGTGAAGAGGTTTGGTTTATTTCTGACCACGTTTTGACTTGAATGTGTCCAGTCCAGTCCAACGTTAGAAAAGAAATTTCTATATTTCTAGCGAAATAAGAACTTCCGTGCAAACTTTACGGTCTGAAAATTTCAATTTTATTAAAAGTCTGCTGCTAAGTTAACATGGTTATTTAAATTTAATTTTGTTTGTTTATATCGTTGCGAGCCGCTCCTTATTAACTGATCGGGACGCCGTGCGCTGTTGCCGCGTGATATTAATATTTGCCCAAAGATCACAGAGTAACCTCTGCGATTTGGGACCTAACCTGTGAGTCATGGTGATACTAACCTGCGAAAGGAGGCCCCAAAGTGTAATTATTCTCTTTTCTTGGGCAAAATATGTTCAGCTGCAACTTAAGTAGAACTTGGACCCAGTTGGTGAGATCGATAATAAAACCCACGGCAGTAGCTTGTCGCTATTCAACCGGTATCAAGGACGATCCGATTTCCGGACAAGAAGAACAGGAAACCGAGATTATAATTGATGTATACAAAGAAAGACTGAAGAAATATGCCCAACTGCTGGAAGAACAGGAGGAAGAGTCCAATAAATTTGGAGATTTGAACCTCAGTCGGGGCGTAGATGGGGTGTTCGACATAGAAGACTTAGTGGAGACGTTAAAGCATCAGCAGGCCGAAGATATATTCGTGGCCAGTGTGCCAAAGGAAATCGGTTACGTCGACTACATAGTGGTGGCATCAAGCAAGTCGCAAAGGCATATGAATGCCCTCACGCAATTTGTTAAGCAAATATACAAGCAAAAGAAGCTTCAAACTGACATCATGCCCACGTTGGAAGGAAAAAACTCGTCCGACTGGATGGCCATGGACATGGACAATATCGCGTTACACATTTTCTCGAAATCAGCCAGAGCCCAATACGATCTGGACACTCTGTGGGCAGTTGGCTCCAAGTATGACGACCAGAGCCACAAAAAGGACCTGCTTTCTAGCATGTTGGAAAGTCACGCCTTCTCACTGAAAGGCTTTGTACCTGCCAAATGACTACTTGCTCGATAGTATGAATAATAAATTGTTTTTGCTTTAATGGCTCGTTTATCCTTTTGACTGTAGATGGGCTCAATAGGGAAACCACCGAATGTTGAACTGAAAAAAACTGTTCATTCAAGATTAGCCGTGCAAGTATTTGGATCAAAATTGAGGAAGAAATCGTCGGCTAAAGATAGTGAACTCTCAAAAAACTTCAAGTATTGAAGAAGCGAAGGGTTGGGTTTGTTTGGGTTAGTAAGCGTTTTTTTTTCTGTTTTTTTTTAATTGGTTTGTTAAAAATACAATACTTTTTTGTGCCTATTACGATTAGTATGAGTTAAAAATACTTTTCCGCTAGTCACACACAAAGGCGGCATTTTAAATTTGGGGTCTAGGAATAAAAGTAGTTTTTTCCTGGTCAAACCTGCCAACGAATAAACGTGGCGTTAGATTAGAAATGACCAGTCGTGGTAAATGGCAACGTTGGACTCTTCATTTGTTTAGCTGCTCCGAGATGGAACAGACGACCATGGATAAAGACGAGATAAATAGAAGTTTGTTTTGATTAATGTAACTTTTAAGCAAGGAGCCAGTTACTATGTATGGGCCAATCTATTCTCCCTCTCTGTACTCTTTCGTAAGACCGCCATTTTTACAGCAGATTCCTGGATTATCGACTATGTCAATTAATCTCAGTTATGTCAAAAATGACACTAATTTGATGTAAGCAAACAGAGTTTTATCCGTCTGTTATCCGTTCAATTGTATTTGTTTGTAAACATGGGCTGTGCAGACTCGAAGGAGAAGGAATCTGAAGAGACAGAAGAGAGAACATGCACAGATGTTCTATGGTTAATTCTCTATATTTTGTTCTGGTTTTTGATGGTAAAACTACAAGTGTCTTTGCCCCAAATATTCTAATTGGGCCACTTTTATTTTGTAGGTGATAATTGCTGCGTTCTCTTTCGTCTATGGCAATCCGATCAGAATTATTAATGGCTATGACTCATTTGGAAATACTTGTGGAACCAGGCACAATCGGGTCATGGGAAATGTATCACTCTCGGGACAGGACACCTCGGACAAGCCATACCTTCTATTCTACGACATAAAAAACTTGGGAGAGTCCCTTAAGATATGCGTCAAGGAATGCCCTAATAAGACAATGGACTCCGTTACTGATATTTACAACTACCACCGTGCAGGCGTTGATGTCTGCATTTACAACTTCAACTATGAGGACCTGAAGAGCAATAAGATTGACCAAAAACTATTGTCTGCTCCTTTAGGGCCCTGCCCTACCCTTCCAGTGTTTGAAGGGTTCGTATATTACTTTTCGAAGATTACTTAATTCAGTTTGTTTTTCTCGTCAGGAAACCCGTTTTAAGTCGATGTGTGCCCAAACATGTGAAGGAAGTAGCAGAAGCTATTCTGAGCAATTTCTATGATTTGCTCAATGGCTGGGACACTTTAGAGCAGATTTTAAGGGACCTGTACCACACTTGGCAGGAAATCCTAGGGCTTGCAGTATTGTCTTTGGGTAAGTGTGAAGCTTTTGAGTTGTGGTAGGCATATAGTTTTTTACATTAATTCTAGTGATTTCATTATTGACCATCACAATTCTGCACTGTTTGGCGCACATCATTTCCTATTTCATTATGATTGGATTCAGTATTGCTAGTATAGGAGGCACAGCCTATTTATGGTACACATACTTTGATATTAAAAGGGGTTTGGATCGGACTGAGCAATTGGAAAAGTACAGCCTTTTAGTGGAATCTGTACGCAATGAAACCGCCTTTTTCTGGTATGCTATTGTAGCTACTGTTATAACAGTAAGTGCTTGTTGAAGTCACATTGGCATTCAGCTGATCATTGGCAAGTTTGTTGTTGTAGGTGGTCATTCTGTTGATCGTCTTATTCATGAGGAAACAAGTTGATTTTTTGGCCAATTTATTCAAAGAGACGTCCAAGTGCCTCATGCATCTGCCCGGCCTGTTCTTCCAACCACTGTTAACTTTCTTTTTTCTTGCAATGTTTTTTATGTTTTGGATATTTGTAGTGGTAAGTATTTCAAATAATCCCTAATTTTCATCCCAAATCAGTATTTGATATATATGTAGCTGTGTTTGGCTACGGCAAGCTACCCGGGAACAGAAGTGATTTCTGGGGTTCGTGTTGATGGAAAAGGATCGATTGGCTCGGGGCCCTTTACGCCACCGCCGGCCAACTCGAATGAAAGAAACATATCCTTTGTGGAGAAGCTAACCAGTAGGTGCTGCTAAAGTTTGTCGCCAAACAGGCTCTGCTAATCGCTTTTCTAGATCTGAAAGTAGTCGAATACGTGGATGCCGGCTGGATAAAGGGGATGTGGTGGGTTTACTTTATCGGACTAATCTGGACGTCCGAGTTCATCATGGCATGCCAACAGATGGTGATAGCTGGGGCGGTGGCCCATTGGTTCTATCGGCACAAATATAAGAGTAACGATCATGTGTGCTACTCGATCGGCAAGCTCATCAAGTACCATTTAGGATCGGTGGCTTTGGGATCGTTGATCATCACCATCTTTAAAATACCAAGGCTGCTTCTGATGTATCTGCATGAACGGTTAGAGCGCGGTTACTCCGCTGTTGCTATAAAATCCATTGACTTTTCAGGTTCACAAGAAATAAGGAAAAAGGCAACGAATGTGCCTCTTGCGGCTTGAAATGTTGCATTTGTTGCTTCTACTGCTTGGAGAAATTTATTAGGTATTTGAATCACAATGCGTACACCGTCATTGCCATTGATGGCTCCAATTTCTGCAAAGCAGCAGGAACGGTAGGTCGTTGCTGTTCTTAAATTACGTTCTATGCCACCTACAGTTCTGAACCTTTCAAGGCCTTTGAAGTGTTAACGTCTCACGCACTCCAAGTGGCGACTATTAACAGTCTGGGCGACTTCATCCTCTTCCTAGGCAAATGCTTTGTAACTGCCGTGACGGGCGTTGTGGGCTTGGCTCTATTCAGAAGGAATCCGCAGCTGAGTTTCTACGCAGCCCCCACTCTGCTAGTTTGCATCTTCGCTTTCTTTGTCGCACATTGCGTGCTCTCACTGTATGAGGTAAGAGTTGAACGATTCTTCAGGCAACCATGCCACAAACCTGCCCATTTCAGATGGTGTTGGATACTGTTTACTTGTGTATGTGCCAAAGTGGGGATGCCCCGGATGGCATCCAAATGCAGAATCTCGGTGTGACCAATAATGGAAATACTCAACCCCAAAGTACTGAACTGGAACCAATGAACTAGCGCGGGGGGTATTTCGCCTTTATTCGCTATTTTAGGTAGGTAATCCATCATGGTACCTTATCGCACACAGTTCTTCCAACCCGAAACAAATACGTCATCTTAGCATTCTTCGGGTAACAAAATATCGAACAAGTGCCCGAATATAGGGCAAAGCACGGGTTGAAATATTCCTGCATGGTATGCTCAGCAAGTATTATTTTAAGTTGTTCCCTACGTACATTTAATATTTTTTACTCGATTGTTTAGCACCCAAGTGCACATTTCATATTTGCAATAAATGGTAATTAAACGCACCACTCCCGATTTTTTACGGCTTCGCTTCTGATGGGAAAGTGGCGTAGTAAAATATATGAGGGGCCACTGAGGCCCCAAATTCAGGAAAAGTAAAACGTTAAGAGGTAAAAAAATGAAAAGCTTTAAATAATACGTACTAAGATGAATCATACTGAAATGAACAAAGTTTGTTATAGATAAGTTCTATATTGAGGCGGATTCATTTTTTTACCAACTTCTTTTTGGGTATTTTGCCTCAAAAATTTTTGTCTTTAAAAAAGACAGAACTTCGTCACGTCTTTTATTACAGATTGATAAATAGTGCTCCTATTTCGCAATAGGAACGAATTATTTATCAAGAACTATCACCTAGAGGGTATCCTGCGACACACTTAGGCTCAAGCTGTAAGAGAAAATTCCAATCAGTAAAGAAATTAATTTGGAAAATTGCCTTGACGTTTCGATAGCTATTTTCTGCTATCGTTATCAAAAGAACCTAAAAAAGAGTATGTTAATAAATTGTGTAACAACAGTAGGATAATACAGTCTATGAAAATTCGCTCTGATAATTCGTCTGTGCAAATTGTCAGTTATGTGATTTTGACTTAATCTCATTGTTTAAATTGAATTCCCACGAACAAAACAAAATCAAAATAAACCTATTACGAACCGTTTCATTCCATTTATTCCAGGACTTTCAGATCAAATTAAACGAGTAGGTAAAAAATTTACACAATTATTTTAATTGTGTTGCTTCATGTTCATTTGATTTAAGTCATACATGATTACCTACCTAAAATCTGAAGTAGACCAGAGAAACATA